TGCTGCCAGTGCCTGCACACCACAACTAGGGTGACATCCCGGCTCCCCTGGACCCTGTGGGAGCCCTTACCATTCCTTCCAGGAGAGCCAGGATCTCACTTCCAGGACTTTGAGACCAAGCAGTAACAGCAGACTCTTATTCCAGAGTATGCCCAGCCCCTGCACCCACATCCATGCCTGGGAATCAGCATCTGCAGGGGCAGAGCCAGAAGGAAGCCCAGCGAACTGGAGGCTCCAGCCCTGCACAGGAGGGGATTCATCCATCCAAGAGGGAACTCACCAATCCCTTCTTCCAGCTTGTGGATGGTGTGGGTTTCCACGGCCACCACGGCAGCACTGGCCTCAGAGCTCTCTTGGTAAATCCTGTGGTGAGAGAGATCCATAAACAAACTCCCCAAACCACGGGAAATTAGGATTCACAGCACGGCCTTAAACTCGGTTCGTTTCTTGCCTGTCCTCGAGGGATGTGCAGTTTGTCTGATACAGTTTCAATCACCAGGAATTTTTTGGCATATACAAAACACTAATAATCTCAAGGACTGACAGATGCAGAGGCATTCCCAGTCCTGTCAGCCCACCCTCCATGCCGCCAGCACCACTGAAGCAGCTCTGCAGACTTCTCTGTGCCTTCTCCTCTGCTTTCCACCACCCACAACAGCAGTAAGCAGAGTTCAGTGTCCCAGGATTTCCCTCCTAGCCCTGTGTGACACTTCAGCACGAGGTGACCACGCAAGGAAGTCACTATCAGGCCCACAGCCACCCTGCCCTTTGAATATTATCCAAGTGGTGCCAGGTTTTTACATCCTGATGGATCCAGAGTGAGGATGAAGCGTGTGGTGGCAGTCACTTCTCTGCAGCAGCTGCCAGGGATGCCATAAAATTCCCTCCACATCCCAGCCTCGTTGTATTTTAAAGGAGGATTATTTTAGGGGAATAATCCTGATAATAAGCATCATATTTTAAGGGAAAGCTGGTGCAGAGGCACATGCAAGTGTAGACATGAAGACCACTACACCCAGCAGCTGCAGCATGGCAAAAACCCACCCTGGGGCTGGAGAGGGAAGAGGGAGACTGGGACAGCACTTCCCTGCTGCCACAATCCAGGAAACACCATAGCCCCACAGGACAATTTCAGCCCTTAGAGGCCCCATGACAACCACACACACAAAAGCCTTTTTCCCTTGTATTTCTCCCTCCTCTGCATGGCAGAAAACCAATGCAGACATGGAAACTGCAGCGACTCTCCATCCCCACGCCACAAAACCCCACAGGGCTCCCCCCATCCCACCCCACGCCTCCCAGTCACACCAGTACCACTCAGCTCACCCTTGCTGCACCGGCTGGAGCTGCAGGATCACTTGGGTTTTGGTATCCTCCGGGTTCTCCCCTTCGTTGCCGTCACTTGGTACAACCACCACATCACCCACAGGGACACTCACTTCGGCATTCGCCATCTCTCACATGAACCCGGCGCTGCTGCAGGGGGAAGGCAGAGCAGGGCTGTGCCACGGCAGCTCCGGGGCTGTGAGGGGACAGGGGAGCAGCATGGCCTGGTCCCAGCACAGCCCTCGGGGCTGGCACAGCACAGCTCCAGCCCCAAACTGGCGACCAAGCGGTTTAAATTCACCACCAGAGGTGGCAAGTGCTTGTCAACACACACGGGGATTTCTCCTCCCTGTGGATCGTATCTCATCCAATGACACAAACCCCACAGAGGCTCAGCCCCCCGCAGTGCTATCCCACCTGGAACTTCCCGGCTCTGCCCCTCTCCAGACCCTCAGCTTTGCACCAGGGATGCAAATCCACACGGTGGATTGTGGCTGGAGGTTCTCCCGCCGGCCAGCGCTTCCAGCTGCTCCTGGGATGCTGTGATCCCTCCAGGAATGTGCCTGGGAATGAGCCTTCCCAGGAGTAGCTGCTGCAGCAGGAAGACCTGGCAAGGGGTCACGGAGCATCTGCGCTCCTAAGAGATCTTCCTATGGCTCTGCAGGAGGCACAAAGGTGGTTTTGTTACTGCTGTGGGGCTGGAATTCAGCCCCTCCAGCCTGGATCACCTCCTCAGGGTAAAGGCTTAGGGGAAAGATGGAGAGTTAGCATCATGGAACTCTGGAATTTGGGTTGGGTTGAAAGGACCTTAAGCATCATCTCACCTCACCCCCTGCCATGGGCAGGGACACCTTCCACTAGCCCAGGGTGCTCCAAGCTCCATCCAACCTGGGCTGGAACACTCCCAGGGATGGAGCAGCCACAGCTTCTCTGGGCAACATGTGCCAGTGCCTCAGCACCTCACAGGGAACAATTTGTCTCTAATATACCACTTAAACCTCAGGCATCTCAGGCTGGGACCTCCCAGAAGGTAACAGTGTCCCACACCTGGCATGCAGCAGGACAAGCCTGGGGAGCCACTGGTGCAGGGAACACACTCCCACCCTGCTGCAGCCGTGGAACCCCTTCTGCCTCCCCTCTCTCCAGGCAGATAAACCCCCAGGACCCCCGAGGGACAGCGTGGCTACAGCTTCCCCAGGATGTCTGGCACGGGGGGCTGCCAGGACATGGCCAAACCCCGGCAGCACGGGGTGGGGGGCAAAACCAGCCCTATGGGAGGGAAATGGGGGGCTACACACCCAGCCCAGGGCACGATGCAGGGCCAGCAGTGGTATCCCCCGATGCAGGTCCCCAAGGTCGTGGTGAGGACTCACCAGTGGGGCAGGGGTCTCCACCCCTCCACGGGGGTCACCTCTTCCCCTCTGCGGGGATCAGGGCTGGGAGTCAGTGGGGTCAGGGTCGGTGGTCGCTGCCCTCCTGCATCCGCGGGGGTCAGTGCGGGGCAGTCTCGGGGTTAGGGTCGGGGGTCAGTATGCCCTCACGCGGGGGTCAGTGTGGGTCAGTCTCGGGGTCTGTGTCGGGGTTAAGGTCGGGGGTCAGTGTCCCCCC